TATGAGACTTGTATTTTTCTTTTGATTCAATTGTAATACTTTAGAGGCTTGTACACGTGACAACCAGATTTTGGGGGTATATTTGAGTTTATTATAAAAATTTCTGCATTTTATTGTAATGGTTGAGTTTTAGGCTGACTTGTCTTGGTGGGTTAAGACGAATGCCATCACGTCCATTTTCGATCGTGACAATATATGTTTAAAATACAGTATTAAATAGTCTAGGGGGTAATAGGTCCTCATGAAAGTTTGGTATCATAACAACAAATTTGGCCAAAGTTGGTGTATTTTTCAGACCCTTATTTATATAATATAATGTGTTGTTGATCCAACATTTCTATAAGAACACAAGATAATAGTAATGTTCATGCTTTGAGATTACAAAATAATCTTGAATTGTTATGACCTTTTTTTCTTGGACTCATTCTTTTTTGTATATCTATTTTTTCAAATTTATATTGCATAAATTTCATATTGGTTCATGAAAAAATAGAGATATTAAATGCATATTGTATTTTGTTTATATAATTGTCTTCAAATTTTAATGGTGTAGAAATCTTTCAAATTCTACAATTAAGTAATGTACAATTATGTTGTAATTGAAAGAATTTATTGAAAAGATAAAAATGAAGAGTCTTTTATTACAAATGTAAGGATTAATCTTAACGTTGCACTTTTTTTTAAGGTTTTAAATCAATTAAAACGGTTTTGACATTTGCTTACAATAATGGGATTTAACAATTTTTTAATTTTAAATTTTTTCTCTTTTCGATTTATCAATTGCAAGTTATTAAAAATGTATTTCTTCTTCATGTTCTTTCATCCATTTTTTTTCTTTCCACTTCATCAAGTATCAATTTTTATTTTTATTTTGATGTTTTTAGTTTTTTCATACAAATTTAGTCGAAGAAGGATGCATCTTCAACTTCAAATCGATTGTGGAAAAAACGTCCCAAAAAGGGGGAAATGATCGAGTTGTTGGTGGCTCTGGTAAGGGCTTTGGGTCGAGATCCATGGGGGACGCCATTGTTGAAAGTGAAAAAAAGCTACGGAAGTTGATATTGAGCAAAAGAGAAAGTGTAGAAGGATTTCTTCATATTTTTTTGCTTTCAACAAATTAGATTGTTGACTTTTTTCCCGATATTTTTGTTGTTCATTCTTTCTAATACATATGGATTCAATTTTTAATGTATCTAGTTGATTTTGTTTCTTAAATTAATGTATAATGCATTCCTTTCAACATTATGATACATTACAATTTCATATGTTGATTGTTCATAGTTATGTATTGGATACACAACTATTACAAAATTCGTTATCTTTTACTACCGATACATACACCCAGCCTCATTAAACTAATAGAAGACTATGTATCTGTAGACACTATCATATATTACTGTTGATACATAAACACTAACGTTGTATAACAAAATCAGTTTGTATCATATTTATAGTTATGTATATGACACATAATGTAACTTTGTTATGTATATAACATAGTTATGTATCAAATGTTGTGATGTATCACATGTTATTAAGTATCTACAACACTATTTTATAAATATATATTATATTTGATTTAGTTTGATTTTGATAATTTTAAAACCAATTAAATTGATTTAGTTTTAATTTTAACCGATGACCGATCAAAACCGACCCGGAAAACCCCCTCATTGTATGTGCTGTCTTGTTACCTTTGTTTAGCATATTGAAAAAACAACTTTATTTGTGATGTTAAATTGACATCCTTTATTTGTGATGCTAAATTGACAGACCTGTGTGAGAACAGTCGGACATTTATGATGCATTGGCAATACTAGAACTTTCATTTTTGCAAGTTTTTTTTTTTTTTTTTTTTGTTTAGCGAGAGGTTTAGTTCCCTCTCATTCGAATTATAAATATTTTTATGCTTAGATTAATTCTCTTTTTATTTATTGAAGAAAGATTAAAAATAGAATATTTATTGAAGAGTAATTGATATTTTAAATAATTAAAACACATAATTTTTTAATGAACATATAAATTAAAAACGTGACAAGTAAAATAGTGCGTCTCTTTTTTTTTTGCATGATTCATAACTTCCAAAACCCTAAAATGCCCTTCATCATTAAGACAAGCTAGCTGTCTTCACCTACCAGGCCCCAAAATAAATTTCCCAGTAAGTTCACTTTGCTATTTATTCATTTCATTTCCTTTATTTACAAAAAACAAGCTTGCTGGTCAAGTGCCACTCCTATGAATTTGTTTCTACAAAAGATTGTTGTTTTTCATTTAATAACTTCAGTAATGTCAGACATATATGACATGCATGAAGAAATTTTGGTTCCAACACTACAAATGAACCCCCAACATTTAATTTGCAACTTGTTTTTGGTGCCTCAACTCTACAAGTAATGGGGACTTAATTAGACTATTAGGGGTCGTTTGGTGTGAAGGATAAGAATAAATAGTTTTAGGATAAAAATTTGATATCTTATTTGGTTGTCATATATAGGATAACTTATTCCACCATTTATACCATAGTAATGAGATAAGTTATCCCAGGATTAAGGATAACTTGTTCCAACCAAATGACCCCTTAGAGGTTTTAAATGTCATATTCGCTTTAATTCAAGCAGATTAAAATAAATTGCAATGATAAATGACTGTCCAAAAGTTATTTAGCTGGAGATGTATTGAGCTAAAATGTGGATCATAACTCAATCCACCTAACTCTTACTAAGTTTTAATTGATTTAATAATTTTCTAGTACATAATAATTTTATTTTATTCTGGATATATGTACCTATTGAATAAAGAATGTCTTTTTAAAAAATATTTTGACAAAAAAATTTCATGGATTAGTTTGGACTACATTCTACCTATCAACCCAAATATTTGATTGACCAAGCTTAATAAATGAACGAATTATTAACTAGTCCAACTTAAGCGAGTTGAACAGACTATATTTCATGGTCTAAACTTACCACCTCTAAATGATACAAACTTCTTCCTTTATTTAATACTTATTTATTTTTTGAGATGGTTTAATTGTGCTATTGTAAATTTCATAATTTATGATGATTTGCTTGCCTAATACTAACACCTAAGTTCTTGGAGAAAGTTTCAAGGAAATTAATGAGAAAGAGATGGGCTTCTCCATTAGTAGTAATATTTAGGCTTAATTTATAAATGGGAAATTTTCACATATAGCCATTCAAAAATAACTTAATTATGCTACGATTCGTAGCTACATGTTATAGGGAGGAGAGTGACGAGCGAGATTGGGAGAGGGACGAGCGAGAGAGGGCAGAGAGTGAAGAGAGATGGATTGTATATGTATATCGGTTAGATAATTGTATATATGTAACTACTATGTATATGTATCAATAATTGTATTTGTATAGTTGCATACAATTTGCATTCGTATACAATTGAATCGAGTTAAAACATTTGTATTTGTATAAACATTTTCTCTCTCTCTCTCGCTTTATACAAACACAAATTATATATTATATTTGTATAATTTGTGTTTGATAAAGCGAGAGATAGAAAGGTAAAAGAGAACTGGGCGGGGAGATTTGTATTTGTATAATTATAAGTGTATAGAGCGGGGAAATATGTATTTGTATTTGTGTCTCACTTTATACAAATACAAACACAAATTATACATTTGTGTTTGTATAAAGCGAGAGAGAAAGGCAAAAGAGAACTGGGCAGGGCAGATTTGTATTTGTATAATTATATTAAGTGTAAAGGGCGGAGAGATATGTATTTGTATTTGTTTATCCCGTCTCTCTTGCTTCATACAAACACAAGCACAAATTATACATTTGTGTTTGTATAAAATGAGAGAGAGATTGGCAGAAGAGAAGCGAGAGATAGAATGGGCAAGGAGGGAGGCGAGGGAGAGATGACTGAAAAACAGGAGAGTGACGAGTGAGATTCCAGAGAGAGGGGAGAGAGGCGCAAGAGAGAGGAACATATGAGAGAGGCGAGAGAGATGATGTAATTATAGCTAGAAGTAAGTTCTGAATTGTCTACATTAGCTAATTAACTAGCATATGTTTGCTTAACCGCATAATTTTCCTTTTATAGATAACCCTCTAAAGTTGTTCATTAAATTCATCTTGCCACTTTAATTGAGGCTAATTCCAGTTGCATACTCCTTAAAAGAAAATTCAAAGGAGTGAACTAAAAAGGAATCAAAATTGCCAGCAAACACCAATCCCAATTAACTATTAACCTAATGTTAATTATACTTGTATGATTCAACATCAATAGCAGCAAAATTAAGAAGAAAAGACTTGTTTTGGGGGGTGGGGAGCAGATGAAATAGTGTCCTAAGGATCAAAATAATTCATTGTTCTTTGTTTGGAGGCAAATTTTAAGAAAAGAAAAAAAAGAGGGATGAACATACATAAGTGTACCGTGTACCGTGTACGTAGGGAGAGATTTATTACCCATTGATTTTGTGGGTCTATTACAAGGAATTACACTTTACTTATGTTATGATAAAATAAAGGGCAAAAGCTTTGATTATTTGACTTGCTTAATAAGAGGTAACAAAAAATGTGGTAGGAAAGTAAATAAGTGGAGTAAGGTTGTCAAAGTAATCGATGGTATAACGGTAAACTTAGTTATTATTGTATATTAACTTGAGGTGCACTATAAACTTCAAATCTTAGATCCGCTTCTACAGTAAAAAAAACTAATATAAAAATAGTGAATAGAGTTTAACTTCTATACACTACAGTGCAAAAAAATTATTACGTTATCAGATCAAGTTAAAAATAATTACAAGTCAGCCGTCCTTACAAAGTGAAATTAGTAACTTTACTCGACTTTCTTGATGTAACAAGCAGGTACAACTATACAAATTTTACAGTACTGATAATAACGTAAGTTAAAGGTAAATAGTAAATATGCATGCCCCCCCAATAAATACGTAGTAGTAGAATTATTCTATATAAGGCCGTTGAAGCAGAAGCTTTTTGGAGAGCAACAACCACTTGAACAAAAGAAATGGCTACTAAACCTGGCATTCTCACTGAGTGGCCATGGGCAGGGCTTGGCAACTTAAAGGTATAATATTTCTATCATTTATGGTAAATGTTGCAGGGCCGAAGCTACGGGTACCAATAACTTTGATTCAAACTCTGTATATTTATTAAGAAATACACTGAATATGTACATATTAACAAATACCCGAATCCATAAACATCAGATCCTATAATCATATGACTCTGGTAAAAGTGATTACTAGTTAACTTCATGCAACCCTACAACATTTTCATTGGAGACTACTGCATAACGCGGTACATGGAATTGGCATTGTAAATCTGCTATATATGATACACTTCTTTTTTTTCCTTTTCAAACACTATTTTGTGCTGAATCATGTGATATTATAGCTTGAATTCTGCTAACTTTTTAAAACTGATATGTTGGGATGATGAAGTACCTGGTGTTGGCACCATTTGCGTGTCACAGCATATACACATTCTTCATGAGCAGAGATGAAAGTCAGAGGGACATGTTCTACATACTTGTACTTCCGTTTACTCTCTCCAGAATGATTCATTATCAGCTATGGATATCCATATCCCGCTACAGGACTGCAAAGGGTAATAATCGAATTATTGATAAAAGCATCGAATTTGATCAAGTTGACAGAGAAAGCAACTGGTATGTACCTTCATTCTTCACCTACTACATATTGTTTTGGTGACTATGTATGATTACATCTTAAATTTTTTAGTGTAAAAAAGAAGATATTTACACTAACTTAAATCCTGGATTTCCTGTATCTAAAAGTTATTTGAGAGTTTTTTTTGGTCATTAAGTAAGCTTTACCTTACAGAATTTACCTGTACTTGTTAGGTTTTTGAACTGTATATACAAGGGATGTAATAAAACGAAAAGATTAAATTGTACATGGCATGATTGACTTAAGATGAATTGTTTTGTAGGGATGATCAGATCATACTTTTTGGGTTGGTATATTATATCGGATACCTGATTGTAGAACAAGCTCATCATATGCCTGTGTGGAGGACTGATGGAATCATAATAACTGCCTTGATCCATATTGGTCCTGTCGAGTTCCTCTATTACTGGTTTCACAGAGCTCTGCATCATCATTTTCTCTACTCTCGCTACCATTCCCATCACCACTCCTCCATTGCTACTGAGCCCATCACTGGTAATTTGTCTTCAAAATTGTTTTCCATCACTGTGATCAAGTTATTAAGAGTTAGAATGATCAATCCTAGAGAAGCTGCACAACAATTTTGGGATCACCAGGAAAATATTTTGTTTTGTAGCGCACACACTCAGAGACGAAACAAAATGTCAAACGTAATAAAGGATATGTGAATGAAGTACTTTGTAGATTGGCTTTCTCTAAGTTTAATGGATGAAAATTGGTTCGAAAAGTCTTGAGGTTTACTCCCTATGTCACATATTAATTATCATAAAGGTTACTAAAACTACTTGTGATTTTACAAAACCAAAATGAAATTAATTATTTTTATCCCATTTTACCCTTAATGTCAAGTGTTCTTGAAACTAACTAATAAGTATTAATTAGAGTACAATTTATTGGATAGAGATAAGGGTTTCAATGTATAGATATATACTTTTTATTTATGATTTCCTCAAGGGAAATGCAAAAGGGAAATCTGAACAACTAATATGGTATAAGTCTTTTAGGGAAGTTTCTTTCTAACCCTTCATGAGGTATTGTGTATAAGTCTCTTCTTATTAAACTAGTTTAGCTTGTTTGAAGATATTTCTATCTGACTTAACCCTTCATACTGAATCATTTAAGCTCTGATATACAAATAACTGTAAGTTAGTCACTTTCCATAGCACTTCAATTCATTTCTTGTCATCATTAAATAAATTTAGAGAGATAACATAACCTACAGGGGATAGTGCAATTTTACCAACCAATTATCACTTGTATGGTTTAAGTATTACATTATTTTGGCAGCTGTTATTCATCCATTTGCTGAGCTACTAGCATATTATATGCTCTTTGCCATACCCGTGTTCACAACTGTATTCACTGGGACTGTTTCAATGGCTTCACTTGGTGCTTATGCCATATATCTTGATTTCATGAACCTCATGGGCCATTGCAACTTTGAGCTAATTCCTAAGTGGATGTTCTCTATCTTTCCCCCGCTCAAGTACTTGATGTATACGCCCTCGTGAGTCTTCTTGCCCTGTATATTTTTTTATGAGTTTAAGTAACACTATTTTATACAACAATGTCTCTAATTAAGTTATTATAAGTAAATTAATCTTCTGAAAGATCTCAAACTTGATTTAGTTATTTAGATATAGATTCAAGAACACTTCATGTTCGTGCATATCTAAAAGGCAGTACAGTGGACTGATTAAGGTTACCAGAGAGATGCAAAATTGTACTTGCGTATATATTGTCTGATGCAATATCGATATGCAGAAAACAAAAGAAAGAGAATAAAGATAAACAAAAGATAAATGATAGAAGAATGACACAAGATGGATAAGAGTTGAGAATAATGGTTATATGACAACCGATACCCCCAGTTACAAGATACCAAAAGCACCAATTCTATAGAAAGCATGACACAAGAATGAGACTAATAGGCAACAATGGCTATTAAAGTCAAAACCTCCTATTAAGAACACCAAACAAGCACCTATACTATAGAGACACCCTCAGGCCTCAAGAGGAATGATCCTCAAGCAAGTAATCTCATCAACATTTCAATCAACAATGACCTTAGTCCGAACTACCTCAAGAGTATCACTATTCAAGTGAATATCAATATCCAAAATCATCTACGTCTAAATGAGCTATTCTCACCTATTTATAGTCTAGGCTAGCTATTACATAAAAGGTCCAAAAGTGGCACTTTAAAGAATTGCAAAAACAACCAAAATCAGACTCCATGTAGTATGCGGAGTAGCTTGTGGCGTCGCATCTACCATTTGCGGTCGCATCCATCTCCACATCTCGAAAACAATGAGTCTTGAAGTTTTAGACTGAATGCAACTCGGGTTGCAGTCACAACCTCTCACTTGCTGTTTAAGCTTAGCATTTCACATCGCAAGTGAGTCCTTTCTCCCTGCTCCAAGTATTACTCCAAGTTAGAGACAGGATAGTTTTATCAAATTTGACTTCTGCTTCCAACTTTAGTTACTCAGGGAAATAAATAGAAACAAGAGAAATTATTGTCTCTTGTCAACTGTACTTTTCCTAGTCTATAGGTTGGGCAGGTTAGTAATAACATGAAGTTCTGTATTTGTGATTGATTATTCTTTTGACACTAATATCAATATTTTGATGGCACAGGTACCACTCACTACATCACACTCAATTTAGAACAAATTATTCACTTTTTATGCCAATGTATGACTATCTGTATGGTTCAGTGGATAAGTCATCAGACACATTGTATGAAAAGTCACTCGAGAGAGAAGCTGAAGTGCCTGATGTTGTGCACCTTACACATCTAACAACCCTAGAATCCATCTACCATCTTCGACTAGGGTTTGCATCACTGGCCTCAAAGCCTCACGCCTCTAAGTGGTATTTGCTGCTAATGTGGCCCGTCACACTATGTTCAATAGTGCTTACATGGATTTACGGTCACACATTTGTTGTTGAGAGAAATTTGTTCAAGAATCTCAAATTACAAACCTGGGCTATCCCCAAGTATCGCATACAAGTAATTAAGTTATATTATTAAAGATTATAGTTACATTTTGCAGGTTTGTTGTTAAAGTGATTATTAATTTGTCCTGATTCTTTGTTTTGTTGCAGTACTTTATGCAATGGCAAAGAGAGAGTATTAGCAATTTGATCGAGGAAGCCATCATTGAAGCAGATCAGAAAGGCATAAAAGTGTTGAGCCTTGGACTCTTAAATCAGGCAAGTCAAAATATGTGTTAAAAGCCTAATACCACCCATCCTTACTTTATCTATGAAAAAAATGCATGATCTGTTCTTAACTGGTAATTATCTTGCAACCTTATTGCAAAATGTTTTGTACACAATCAAAAGATATTGTTATTATGGAGAAAAAGATATTAAAAGAAGTCACCCCTCACCCTATATCAATGTTTGTAGGCTGAACCAATTACAGAAGGTCAATTCACACTTATGCTTTATTTCAAATGTACTTTCCAGGAAGAGCAACTGAATAGTCATGGTGAATTTTACGTAAAGAGGTATCTACACCTGAAAGTGAAGGTGGTAGATGGAAGTAGCTTAGCTGTAGCCGTGGTCCTAAACTCCATTCCTGAAGGAACTTCCCAAGTTGTCCTTCGAGGTAGCTTGTCCAAAGTTGCTATCTCCATTGCCCTTGCCTTGTGCCAAGGAGAAATTCAGGTATATTTAACTATTAATCTCCTACATCATTTTTGGTTTTATCTCATTCAACATAATTTCTATATATAGGTTGTCACGTTAAACAGAGACGATTACAGGAGACTTAAAGCAAAGCTTACCCCCGAGGCTGCAACTAATATGGTCCTCTCTAATTCTTATAATGTTTCAAAGGTATAAACCAAAAATAAATTGAAATATACTGATCTAAATCTTGACCATTTATAACATTTCCTTGCACCTCCCCCTCCCTCCTAGATCTCCTAACCCAAAGTTTTTATCATTACGTGAGGTTTGAACAATTCTGGTTTTTTTAAAAGAGGCTCTTGATTGAAATATTATATTGCAGACATGGCTAGTAGGGGATGGATTGAGTGATGACGAGCAATTGAAAGCACCAAAAGGAACACTATTTATTCCCTTTTCACAATTTCCACTAAGAAAAGTTCGCAAGGACTGCTTCTATTTCAACACACCAGCCATGATTGCTCCAAAGCATCTTGAAAATGTAGACTCCTGTGAGGTTAGAAAAGATCATTTAATGTTATTAATTTCTCTATACTAATTTGACGGTTTTTTTAAAATTAAAGAAATTCATGAGTGATTTTCTTTTAATTCTAGAATTGGCTACCAAGAAGAGTGATGAGTGCGTGGAGAATAGCTGGAATTGTGCATGCATTGGAAGGTTGGAATGAGCATGATTGTGGTGAGATGATGATTGATGTTGAAAAAGTGTGGAAAGCTAGTCTCAGTCATGGTTTTTGCTCATTAACCAAGATTTCTGCTGCTTAATCAAAGGGCTAAAATTATACTACTATTATAGATAGACTGCTGCTTATATTATTGAATCTTGGATCTATGGTACCATTTCGTTGGGTAAACGAAAAGTATGCACAATATTAGCCTCTACTAGAACATGTAATAGGTAGCAAACCCATTAAAATATATAAAGGTTTGAGGTACGTATCTCATTAAGAATTGGCTATAAGAACACCTACCCCTGGCCAAACCTCTCCTTCCCCGGTCCATGCTCCCAAGCCCAGTGGCGGATTCAGAATTTTTTAGTTATGGGTGCTCAATTATTTGTAATTTGAAGTTGGTACCAAAAGGGGTGCTCAATATTACATATTCATACAAATTACTAGGTTTCTTTTATAAATAATAGTGTTGGCTCCCAAATGTAATGGGTGCTCAAGCACCCATACACTTGAATGTGCATCCGCCACTGCCCAAGCCTACCCCTACCGACGTTGTGACAATTGGTTACATTAATGAGCTACTAGCATAATCGAAAATCAACCCAAAACATTGACTGTGTTGTACTTACTGTTCTATTGAATTTCGAATTAAATTCATAACAAAACCAATGCCAATATTCAGTGAAATATATCCAAAACGAAATAAAATGAAGAGAACAGAAACAAATAAACCAAATCACACAGAATTTCAAGAGCAAAACACACTTGTATACAAAATGCAGCGAGGAAAAAAAACGGAGAGGCCAAAAAGAAGCTTAAGTTGGCGAAGCTTACCAGAAATGGGAGAAAACGGGCAAATTTGCACGGAACCAGACGGCCTAACACAGAGAAGAGCGACAAAGGATCAACAAAAATTTGAGGAAGAGGATTGAAACTGGAGAACACGAATGCAATTTTCTATGGTGATGCAGGGAAAAATAGCAATTTGGGTCCTTGATTTATTATCTTATTCCTATTTTAGTCCCCGTGTTATTAATCTGAATGCAAGTGAGTAGTGACCTTCAATCTTAAAAGGTCACTGAAGTTATAATAAATTATCTAGTAAAGTTATTTTAATTTTGTTTTGTATCAATAAAATCACTCAATTTAAAGTTATTATCTTCAAAAATCACTCAACTATATTTATCATTTAAATAAATTTAACATGACAAAATAAAATATTTTTCATGCCATGTAATCATGAATTCCACAAATAAATAAAATTTATAGAATTTATTTATTATGTACCAAAAATTATAAAATATACGTGCATATTTGATCCTTGAACATAACAGAAGGTAACGGAAGTTAGAAATTTTAAATAAAATTATCATTTGGAAAAGACATACTCCCTCTGTTCCAATTTATGTGACTTACTTTTCTTTTTAGTAAGTTTAAAAAAGAATGACACATTTCTATATTAAGTACTCCCTTTATCCCTAATTACTTGTCTACTTTTCCTTTTTTAGTTGTATCTAATTATTTGTTCATTTTGACAAATCAAGAAAGGACAATTTTTTTCTTCTATTATACCCTCAATTTATTACTTTGAAAAATATAGAACTTTTTGAAAATCTTAAGTTTTTAATTCATCTACTTCAATTAATAGGGGCAAAATGGTAAACTCACAATATCAATTATTGTTTTCTTAATAGGTGTGTCAATTCAAAAGTGGACAAGTAATTAGGGACAGAGGGAGTACTTAATAATTTAACTTTAAAATGTTTGTTTTACCCTCAATAAGATGATTTATAGCCACACAAATTTCTGTCATTCATTTAAGACCACAAGTTTTAAAAGTCTTCATTTCTTTTTAAAATTTCGTGCCGAGTCAAAGTACCTCATATAAAATGGGACATAGGGAGTAATATATAAATGTGTCACTTAACTTGGTTTTACTTCGTATTTATGCCCTTCAACTTAGTATACATAAGTAGACATTTAAACTTATATAAAGTTGAATAAATAGATACATGAATCCTATGAGGTCAAAATATACTTAAATTTTAATTTATTTTTATTTCATACCTAAACAAATAAAATGTAAGTTTTATAACAGAATTATCACTCATTAATTTAAGAGGATAAGTTTCATACCACAATGGTGCTATGCATGTGATTTTGCTGAATTTCATGGTGGTGTAGCAACAACCAAGCAGAAGCTAATGTTTAAACGCATCCTTTTGTGTCTCAACAAGGATCTCAAATAATAAAGCCATCCCATGTATTAAAGCACATATCCAACTTTCCACGCAAACACGCAATTAATGTTAGCATAATCTATACAGTATTAGGTGGACTCATATAATTGCTTATATCTTGGTCCCATCAAAGAAAATTGGAGTTGATTTTTCAGTAGTTATTATTGAAAATGTCACTTTTTGTTGAAAAAAATTTAAGATAATAATTTTGGGTGATTATATGAGAAATAAATCCATTTAACTATTTATATAATATAAGAAAAAAAATTAATTTTATGGTCCTAAATTAACGTTATGTCAATTGTCAAATGTACCAAAAAAATGTGTTAAAAAAATTCAATTTTATGATCCTAAATTAACGTTATGTCAATTGTCAAATGTACCAAAAAAATGTGTTTTTAATTTTGTGGCCTTAAGGCTTAAACATGCCACAACCTGAAAATGAAGTATAGCTAAAAAAAAAGGAACGGATGATTCTTTTTTAAACAAACTAAAATGTAAATTAGATCATTCTTTTTTAAACGGACGGAATTTATAATATGGGAGTCTGGAGCCAAAAGGACAAATTTTTTCTTCAAAAAACAAAAACGGCACATCAAAATTGTTTTTAACCAAAAGGGCAAAATCGTTCTGACAAAAATTGACGCCCTTCCATAAAAATCGTTGCCTTCGAAGCGATTTTCTCAAAAAAATATTTTTTCTTTTTTTCTTTAATAGCAGTGTTTTTATATACAAAACAAGTAAAATCGCTGCTATATAGCAGCGATTTTGTTTAAGAATTTTTTTTTAAAAAAGTTTTGAAGTTAAATCGCTGCTATAGCAGCGATTTTGTTTAAGAAATTAATTATTATTTTTTTAAAAAAATCCTACCCTTGCAGCGAATTTAATAAAAATAAAAATAAAAAAATTAAAACTGAAGGCAGCGGTTTTCATAAAAAGCTTTTTTTAAAAAAAATCTTTACACTTTCAGCAATTTTAATGTAATTTTTTTAAAAAAAATTAAAAATGAAAAGGCAGCGATTTTTTCTTTAAAAAACTTGTTTTTTTTTAAATGGCTGCCGCCGGAAATTTATGTAATTTAAAACTTGTTCTTTTATGCTTTTTTTTTAATTCCTTAACAAAAAATCGCTGTTTTTTTAATATGTAATTATATTCAGGCATTTAATAAAGTCCTCTGTTATAACAATGAGAGATATAAACATACTTGGTTTATAAAAGTATGTGCCAAGATATTTGCTAACCCTATACCAAATTGGTTTTTAAACTGGTGGTCATACCACGGGCCAACCATAAATATATTGCCTGAACCATTTCTCAAGTTATACAAAGAATGGGTCAAGATTTCCCCAGATCTCAACAAGTTATATCATCAAGAACATATTTGTTATTTTCAACAAATTGAACAAATATACTTTTTTATAGAATTCTCTGTTCCATGGATTCATAAATGGGTTCCGGAAGTAGATTTCACTGAGGAACAAATCCCTTGCCTGTACAGAACTTATTATAATAATTTTTGGGACAAGTTGATGAAGAAAGATCTTCAAACAAAGTCTTTATACGGACAAGAACTGTTGAATCTAATAACGAAAACCATACACGAATATAAATCGATTCCTAATAAAGGAATTACGACTGATGACTCAACCTCCGTAAAACATATGGCTAGAAAAATTTCTAATCATGATGAAGGAGAGCAAAATGAAATGATTATGAAGTATCTAGAAGAAGTAAAGAAAAAGATTCTTCTAAATATAAGTCATTACGCAAAATCAGATTCATCAATGCGTGGTGAAACAAGTGAAGATATGCACGAAGCACAACCATATGAAGAAGAAGCACCAGTGGATGCACTGAAGAAAGCCGAAGATTTTTTGGCAAAATTAAAGGACAAGATGTAAAAAGAAATGTAAAGTTTATCCGCGTCGGTAGCAGGTCCGCACTACTGTAGCAACACTATTCACCTACAGTAGATACACTGTTCATGTACAAGCGATACACTATTACCAGGACCCAGATAGGGGCCCAATATCCTGTACAAATATGCTTTCTTTCTTCCTGTCTTTTACTTTTATAAATTCTCCGATCTAAGCCGTGACTATGTCCGGCTAAAAAATTATATCTATGCCGGATAACTAACTTTTCTTTGATATAGACCATGAACGGATCTAAGCTTTATTTAAATATAGAAGAATTTTAGTATGGCTTCTCGATTTGGTTCTGAGATTGAGGTACAGTCGGATCCAGTACTACTTTTATTGGCTTTGACTTTGTGACTCCGTCTGATGAGCCGTGGTTGTTAGCCCGAAAAAGAGTTTGATAAGTAGGGCGTCTGATACCCGGTTAGAACTATCAGACACATGGGCTCAATAAAAGTATGTATTAGCTTCTTGACAGGCCCTTTGCTTGGGTAAAATAATTAAACCATGCAGTCTGAGAAACTATGTTAAAATTCTTGTGTATTTCGATTCTTATGTAGTTGGACTACCTCTAAGGATATTGACTTGCTTGATCTATGACTGGGCGGACCACCGCCAGATCAGTGATCCATATATATATATATATATATACATTTAGTAGAATTCTATATGTATATAAAGGCCGTTGAAGCAAAAGCTTTTACACACAAGTTGGGGCAAAGCTAGAAGCACTTGAACAAAAGAATGGCCAATAAACCTGGCATTCTCACTAACTGTCCATGGGCATGTCTTGGAAACTTAAAGGTATACTCTTTCTACTAACATTTATGGTAAAAAGTTGCAGGGTCGAAGCTACGGGTACTAGTAACTTTGATCCAAATTCTGTATATTTATTAAGAAATCCATTGAATATGTACATTAGCAAATATCAGAATCCATAAACTTAAGATGATGGATCCAATATGATTACTCTGGTAAAAGTAAGTTCATGGTACACACAAACAATTATCAGAATCCATATATACTCTTTTCTAGTATCATTTATATATGGCAAAAAGATATCACTAGTAGCTTCATGCACCTCTATAATAAACGTACCGCATATGTATTACATGCAACGG